GTTACTGTACTTTTCTATTGTGATTTCTTGATCAAATTTAAATCTCATCACATCATCAGTCTGGGGCGGATAAGCCCAGAAGAATGTCTGCCCTTTGTATGCACGGTCTAAGGTGTATCCCTGGTACGGTTCCAATGATGAAATTGACACAGCCTTGGGGTTTAAGTGAGCTTGGAACAATGGTGCTTTCTTGAAGTCTTTATCCTTGAGATCAAACAACAATATAATTCAGACACAGTAAGTTACAAAAAATTAGATACAGTATGAGTCATTTTGTTCCTAAAAGCCTTCCTTTTAGGCACCATTAGTTTAAGCAAACTTGTTTTTCTTGATAAGATTTTCCTTAACTTGGAATCAAAACCAAAAGTTTGCAAGAGATACCCAAAACATAACTGAAATTGTCTTTTTAACTATACACCTTGACTTACAATTAAGTTTTGTTTCTTTCCTTTCAGTGATGATTCTTTGCCAACATGTTGAAAGAGAGAAGGTTTGAACCTGATACGTAAGTGTGACTTCTCTCTTGAACAGTGTTGCTGCAAAAAAAACAAAATTTTAATATTATTTTGGTCAACATCATTACTCAATCTATTTATAGGGGATAAAATAAAAATGAGATACCATGCCCACTTAGTTGGTCAAAAACTTTTTGTTCAAAATAGGATAACTATTGGAAAACATTGGCCCTTTAAAGAACAAGTAATTACATGAATAAATGTACTTTTGTTCTGAGCAGTTGATAGTTTACTCAGCTGATACCCAATTTCACCCTTATACCCCTAAGAGCGACTAACATCTAATTTCTCCTGACCCCCTCCCCCATGTTCCTCAACTCCCTGACCCCTGAGAGTGACTAACATTTAATTTCTCCTCACCTCCCCCCCCATGTTCCTCAACTCCCTGACCCCTGAGAGTGACTAACATTTAATTTCTCCTCACCTCCCCCCCCATGTTCCTCAACTCCCTGACCCCTAAGAGTGACTAACATCTAATTTCTCCTGACCCCCTCCCCCCATGTTCCTCAACTCCCTGACCCCTAAGAGTGACTAACATCTAATTTCTCCTGACCCCCTCCCCCCATGTTCCTCAACTCCCTGATCCCTAAGAGTGACTAACATCTAATTTCTCCTTCCAACATCTCCCCCCATGTTCCTCAACTCCCTGACCCCTAAGAGTGACTAACATCTAATTTCTCCTGACCCCCTCCCCTCATGTTCCTCAACTCCCTGACCCCTAAGAGTGACTAACATCTAATTTCTCCTGACCCCCTCCCCCCATGTTCCTCAACTCCCTGACCCCTAAGAGTGACTAACATCTAATTTCTCCTTCCAACATCTCCCCCCATGTTCCTCAACTCCCTGACCCCTAAGAGTGACTAACATCTAATTTCTCCTTCCAACATCTCCCCTGAGTCACACATTAGGGTCTCAAGAATTAAGAAAACAAACACCAACTTAAGGAACTCTTGATTGTTAAACAAATTCCCCTTGCCATGTATAGAGAGCAGTATGGAGAATATGCGCACTGATGTCAGGGGGTAAAGGGTGCCCGATAGCACTTGTCTCAGAAGTCTTGGATGCACAGCTTTTAACAGCTTCTACAGAAGCAACGCTTTGCAAACCAGCAGCCAACAACAAATTCTCAGAGATAAAAGTCTAAGAAATGAATAGTACAAAGTGCAGAAAATTACTATTTGAGATTTTGAAGAGTGAAGGGGGTAAAATAAGTTGTGCCATAAATTAAAACCCCTTTCAAAATCTTGGGAGTGAAAAGATTAAGGTTTAGCAAACCAAGAGGGTACTTAACAACTTACTTGATCTTTTTCTGGGTTGCAGACTTTGACCCACAAAATGTGATCCATCAGCCAGTCAACAGGTTTGTCTTTGTGAAACATCAGAAAGAACTCTACCACCATGCTCAAGTCACTTGTACGGAAAAGCTTTCCTGTGATTGTGTCAAAAAATGTAAACAAAATGAGTTTGTTGATCATTCTATAGCTATTACATTAAGAATAGCACAGAGCACTACATAACAAGAAAATGGTAACTTTATCATTGCAGTACTGACAGTGTGGAGTATCCTCCACAAGTTTGTGGAGGATACTTCAGCAAACCCACTGCTTTGCGAATTTTAACTAAAAAACCATTGGGAAAAAGGTACAAATTAAATTACCATATACAGAAAACCTTTACCTATAAATCCAAGTGCTGAAAACTCCAAAATAAGCCACTGATTTGTTTCTTGTTGAAGTGCAAATGTTTTGATTGTTGAAGCAAAAGTGGGTGTGGCCACAATATCATCTTCCAGCTTAATAGAAAAAAACAATTAAACTACATCATTAAGATAATTTAATCAATAAAATATATATAAAATAGTAATCACTGCACCTGAACATAAAATCTTGCTTTTTTCTGGCAGTACATCATCAAGTAGCAAAAATCAAGATTCTGTTTTGTTCTCCACCTATATCAAAAATAGTATCCAAACAAGAAACGAACAGTGAAAACATGTATAATCAAAAACAGCAAGGAAAAAAGAATTCCACACCTACAGTATAACACAACAATCAGCTGTGGGAGATGCAGGGACATAACAACTACAACTGAAGTGCGCTGAACTTAAGATCATAATGTCTGCTTTTGAGAATTGCCAAGGTCTTCATGTTGCGTTTTTGGGCTTGATACTTTCCTCTTACAGTGCCCCCTTAATTTCCCCCCCCCCAACCCACTCAGAAATAAATTTAAGGAAACCTAGTAACCAGATGCTGGAATGGAGAGGGAGTGGGACTCATTATGGACTATCACCCTATCCAGAACAAATAGAAATACTCTGACTGCTGGTTGCTTGGTTTTAGCTCTTTACTCCCCCCCAAAGTGGTTAAAATGTCCCTTCTCTCAATAATTTATTATCCATATGTTATCCAGTAAACAGAAAACAAGAATACTCAAACTTATCAGGAAGAGGTTGGACATTATCTTGATCTAACACCAAACTCTTGTAATGAACTTACTAGAAAATAATTTGGATATATCAACAAAGTTCAAATGGTAAATTGGCCACCGTAACGATTACAAAAGCTGACGTTTTGAGCGTTAGCTCTTTGTCGGAGCGAAGCCCTTTGTCATTCACTCCAACGAAGGGCTAACGCTCGAAACGTCAGCTTTTGTAATCATTACGGCGGCCAATTTACCATTTCAACTTTGTTGATATATTCAAATTATTTTTTTACCCCCACCGACGCAGCCCCAAACAGTTTCTTTAGAAGCTATCAGCCTTTACTAGAAAATACATAGCAGCTAGAGAGGAGAATTAACAATCAGATCTTAGGAGTTAAAAGGTCAAAGAAAAATGATAGTAAAGGATGAGTTCTGACAGTAATGCTTATAGTTTGTGAGCCAAGCCATTTGGCACATTCCCCCTCTCACTTCAGTTGGTCCT